TGCGAATCGTTGCTGAAAGCCTGTATATACTGTTGCTTTTTGAAGAAAACGCGTCTGAAAACACTTTAAGTCTAATATATGTGCTTTCTTCTCGTTACTGTATCGCATGGTACCTCTAATGCCGCGTCCACACTAAGCGAGCAAATTCGTTTCAAATTTCGTCAAAACGCCGACAGAAAATCGATCGTCTATCGATGTTTGACGCAGCATTAGATTTACCAACAATCAACCCAATTCTCTCGATAAAATAGTTTGCTAAGACCCCAACCAAACCGTTACACACGGTGATTCATTAGTGCACCAACCTTGGAAACCAGCATAAAAAATGGCAAAATTTTGCCTATTTTAAGCAAGAAATTGCCTTTGCTTTTCGAACTAACTCTGGTTTAAATCGTTGCCTTAAAAACAACCCAATTTTTTCGAAATGGTAAATCACAGTTGCGACTACGTTGACCGAAAGAACATCCAGATTTCCAGTTTAGTTCGGAGTTTGGGAAAAAAGAAAAATGTTGATGGAAAAAGTGACGACTGATGGCTGGAATCATGGAGAAACAACCAAATATGTGAACTTTAATGGAAACCTTCTCAACAAACATTCACCCTGAAGGGTCGTAATACGTTTGATTTGTCCGAAAAGTTGGGTAATTTTTCAGGGACACTGATGTTGAAGCCTTTGCAAAAGCTCACCCCCAAAGGCCTTTGCAAAGGTTTTTGCACTAAAATACCTCTTTTGGTGCACTAATGAATCGAACCCAAACAGAACAAAATCCAACCTGGTCGGCGTATAGAGCGTCGCGCCAGATTCAAAATAACACTTTCCTCCTCCGATGCGAACATTGAGCGGGTTTTGCGATAAATCACGATACCGTCGAACCGAACTACCGAACAATTTTCCTCTAGTGACATCAAAGTCTGTTGCTCTACACGGAACAGCCACTGTTTGTTTTTCTTTAGCTAGCGTCTGGTAAAGACCGTATCCAGAGAGATCGGCGGCGCACAATCGCTGAATGAAGCCAAACTGATGGAAAACGATAGGAAACAACAGCAAACCGAAGGAAAAAAACGGGAGGAAAACAAACGAAAATTGCCACCGGGTTATTAGCTGGACTGGACGCTATCTAGTCGTGCATCGGCCAGTGTATCGGAGTCGGCACTGCACAAGACAAACGAGGAACGAGATTCAGTGAACGAGCAAGTCAGGGCATTGTGCGAACTATCGGGTGCAGGATCCGTATTGGTCATCCTCAGTGGCTTCGGCGGTCATTTCTTCTTTCGGTTCTAGGTAACAATATTGAGAAACAACGAGGCCCAAAGGCCGCTGCATCGCGGATGCGGTGAATTCTCTTTCAATCATTGGCGGGGAAACATGCGAGGGTTTTTCAAAGATACTCACTTGCGTAGCACTCACGATCAGGCGTGATGGATGAAGGTGACTTACCTGGAACAAAAAGAAAGTTCATTAGATCTACTCGAGCGCTTTCATTAGTAAAGTCGGGGCTAATGATCCAGCATGATCAGGAAGAAGAAAATGCCGACGAAGCAAGAGAAGGAGGAGCGACGGATTTGCCTTAAACTGAGCCAAGGCAAGTGTCCGAATGAAGAACACAAGGGCGGAGCCCCCCATTCAATTCTCTATCCAACGATGCCAAAATGAATTTTGTGGCTCAAATGGTTTTTGAGAAACTTCGAAAAAAGCAGCGTCATGTATGAGACGATTTTGCAACTCAGAAACAAACCACGCAAATCTAAAACTTCTTGAACTCAACACTTTTTGAGAAAACTGCCCACATCTCGTTATCAATGCTTTACTTTCAAAAAAGGCCATTTAGTTCTCTATGAAATGATGTAAAAATAGAGCGTTTTGCCCATTTTGCTTCCGAGAAATGAGCAAAAACGGGACGGAAAACATGAAATTTTGGCATAATCTTGCACCTGAGTGTCTGATATTCAAATTTCGCTTTCTGGGTCAAAACTACTCGAATTTC